CAGTTAGTACGATGGGGTCTGGGAATGGTCCATATAAGTGTAATTGCTGGGTTGTGCAATAATTTAAGCCTTCAGGTTTTTTATGTAACCGTACTCTGGTATACCCTGTATGAGGCTGTATCATATATGTTATATAGTTACAAAGATATGCATAACCTTTGCATACTTCAGTATACCCACCATGCAGTCTCTGTTCGTTAGATGTAAAATGGATAACTAAATTATACACAGAAACCTACAGGGAAGACAGGTTATTTGGCTTTAATCTTAAAACTTCTTTGATCACAAACATGATCAGTTCTAAGGAATCACTGCAATGTACAAGTGGAAATATCACATTATTCCAAGAATGAATCTTCTCGCATGCACAGCGTATGTTTAGTGATATGGCCCTCAGGCCAAAGCCTAGAATTTTGTTTTATATTTTAGTCAGGGAGTTTGATAATATTAATATATTTGTAGATAGTTCTGCCATTAATGCAAGTAAAATTGGGGCCTTAATAATTAGATTTGATGAATGTTTGTTTTATGTATCCATTAATGTTTTAGGGTTATTGACTTTGGCACAGATTTGTAATTATTAAGTTTTGCGAATGTGTAAAAGGAATGATAGCCACAGTAGATTGTTAATGCTTCCAAATATACCCACAGTATTGTGTTAAGTTGTGAAAATAGACTTGTAAAAATAGATAAATCCATATTTAATGCTTATATTAATGCAAAAGTAGTAGTTAATTGCAAATGATCTGAAGCACTCTAAGAGAACAATGAAGTGGACTGATTAAAGTTGGCTCTTTTCTAGAAAAGACAAGCTGTGCAGATTCATTTCGTCCAATTACTAAATCATGTAGCAGCGCTATGACAATTGTTTTGATTTCAGTTCACCAGCATGAGTTGACTTGCAAATAAGATCCAATACTAATGTTCCAAGCTTGCTTTTTATGTACAGACACTGTGAGTGGATTCAGAACAGAGGACTAACTGATCTGCGGATCAAATATGGTGGTCTACCCACTAAAATGCTTTCCAATTAGACACTGAATAAATTCCCCATGGGGATAATTCAACAAGCATTCAAGGGATTGGCCATATTTGATCCACGGATTCGTTAGACTGCTGTACGTTCTGAATGCATTCTGTATGTCTGGACATATTGCCACCACCTGTCTGTGTGCGCCATTAGCATCAGTGTGCACTTTTATCACTTTTTTAAAAAATGTTTATTAGTTTATGAGAATTATAATTAGTGTTCCTCACTTAATCATAAAAAGGCAAATTGCATTTTTATCTGCATGGTTAGTTGATTTAGTTGAAAATGCACCACAGATTTCTTTTAACTCTATTGTATAGTAAACAAATAGTTTTTGATATACCTGTAGTTAATACACCCAATTATGTATGATTTCTTATTAGCCAAAGAGTTAAGACCCTCTTAAATTTTGAGCACTTGAAATGGCATTTTGTAATTAATTTAATAAATAATAACTTATTTAAAGTGTAACAGTCTGCATATTCTCACTTGCACCATATATAGTGATGGTCCTCCCTCTATAGAGGAAATGAAGACAAAATGATAAACCGTAGGGCAGCCAGAGTTTTTATAACTCTGTTGTACATTATGACATCATATCAGCATGGCATATTACACATGTTAACAGCAAGTATAATTTGAAAAATGAGAAAGTAAGTGGACAATGGCATATAAACGAGTGTATCAGTAGATTTGTGGAAATTATATGGTGATTTCCTGGTAGAATGGTTAAGATGAAAAACCAATTCTTGACTTCATATTTAACTTGGTTCAAACTCATTTAAAGTTGATTTATATAAATATCACATAAAGAAATTGACATTGACGTGATTTATCTTGACATCTTGTATTTGAGGTGAGTGTGTGTGGCGGGGTGGGGGGTGGGGGTGATGGTGGGGGGTCTAGGGGGTGTAGGATGAAATTATAACGTTACCATATTTCCAGTAACCTGAGTATATGTACTACAAGATACCTGCTATAAACAGGGGCGGATCCAGAGATATTTTCTAACAGTCTTCCAAATTATCTTTGTTGATCTATCCTCCATTTTTGACCGTCTTCCGACTGAAAACAATAGATGCCCGACAATGTAAACTTGAAAATCTGACCGTCTTCCGGAAGACCCAGAAGACGGCCTATATCCGCCCCTGATAAAAGTGGTTACTACTAGTACATGTATTGACCATAAACATCTGTAATTATCTTTTCTCTTTCTTAATCACAGTTAAAATCAAATGATTAAGTTTGTTTAATAAGGATTTTTGGGGGCCTTGGACTCACTGATCCACAGATCAAATATGGCTGACCCACTTGAAAGCTTGCTGCCAATACCCCACATAGAATCCATTAGGGGAAACAAGTAAGGAATCAGCTATTCCGTGGATCAACTTGTTTCTGAACAGGCCCTTAGATAATTTCTCAGGCATGGGATTCTTATTGCAGACAGTCACTTTCAAAAGTTCTGGCAAATATTCAGTGCAGAAACACCTTTTTATGACCCATGAAACCCAAATAGTCACTGATAACAAGAATATTGAAATGTGCAAAAATGGACCAGTTGAAGAGAAACCAACTGTTCATTTTGGCCAGAAAATGAATTTTCCTGGTGTAAGGGACAATTTTCCCATCCTTACCAATGGTTAATGAATCCATTCTGACATTCAAAGTTAGTCCTTGGTTTTTTCTAAAAAGTTTTTTTTTTTTTTTTTTGTAATATTCCCTTAAGAAATCATTACAGAGTGTACCCATCTATGGAGGTTACGTGATGTGATGGCAAGCACAAATTCCAGAATTATTGCATTAACCACTGTTTTGGTAGTAAAATAGAATTAATTATTATATTTCTGTAAGTTGTTTACAATGTATTTATTGTGCACTATGGATATCATAGAAACAGTTGTTATCCCTTTAATTGTAATTGAAGCTGTGAAGCCCTGAGATCAGATGTTGTAGCTGAGATGTTACTCTTGCATGACCATATAGTCACCTTGGATGTTGCTGATCCCTTCTAGCTGTTTGCAAAACTCAATTATGAAAATCTTTCCAGTTGTGTTCCAGGACTTTAAAGGACCTTTGGATACTGAATGTGTTCATGTATGATCAGTATATGATTGAAGATTGACTGTGCTCCTTTTTATTTTTTACGTTCTTTTAGTTAATGTGGCAACTGTTTTTAGTAGTTGCAAAAACAATAGTTCTGGAAACAGACACATTTTCTGTCAGCCACATTTATCTGAAGATAACCTCCCATTTGTTTTTCAATTGCAAGTATTCCTAGCTGACAAAACTGCCCACAGTTTCCTGACATATGGAGGGCGACGACGTCATAAACGAGCCAATAGCTTTTTTGAAGAGTTCAAAGAAGGCAATTTTGAGAGAGAATGTGTCGAGGAGACGTGTAGCTGGGATGAAGCCATGGAGATCTATGAGAATTATGAGAGGGCTGTGAGTTAAAGGGCATGACATATATGCAACCATAAATATAGCATTTACTGTATGTATTATATGCCATATATATGCTATTGTTTGCTACCTCAATCTGCATATTTTACATATTATGTGCAATGTTTTCCTACATTAAACGTATATATGCATGTTAATATATATACAGGTATAATTTCCATTTGTGCCCAGGTGTGAAATACTTATTATATGACATTATATATTTTTATGCCTGTATGGAATGTTTGCCTATACATGTGTAGCTATTTACCCTGCATGTTTTGGATATGTGCATTCTTATTTCAATTTCTATAATCTCTATATGTGTGAACTGGCCCCTATCAGGTGCCAGACATCTATAGCTAGCTGTCACTGTAATTATATACTCCTGCCCTGGTATACCCATGTTACTGACAGGTGGCATGTGTGTCTTTAATTTTTTTTAATATGTTTTCTGTTCTAAGTTTCCTTTTTCTTTTACTTTCTGTTAGCAGAACAGGTGTGTTACACCGCCTTATCAGAGGACTGTATTCTTGGTGTCTTTATGTTTTTCTTTTTTCTGAAAATGTGTGTTGGGAAAGCATTTTATAGATTTTTTGTTGCCAAAACTCATTATTTACTTATGAATGACATCCTGTAATTGCTTGAAGTTAATGCCACACAGTTGTTTTTTTAACCAACAAAAGTAAAAATGAAAATGTCAGACAGCTAAATGATGCACAGTGGTTATGAGGCAAATACAGAAGGTAGCTTGAAACAGACTATTTCACCTGGCACTCCAGGTAACTCCCACTGTGTAACACACTCAGAACAGGTGTCTTGTTAGAATTCAGTTGTTGTTGTTTAAAAAGATTGTTCAGGTGAAGGTGTGCATGCACTTATATAACCTGCATGGTTGCCTAAGTGCATCAGTAAGCTTGAAAAACTTTAAAAAATTGTAAAACTGTGAAATATATATATTTTTTACAAGGCACTGAACATGCAATTTTCAGCATTTTTCAAGTGGACTCAGTCATTATTAAATAACAAAATCAATTTGTGTTTGTGTATGAGTGCATGTGTGTGCGTGTGTATGTGTGTGCAGACATGCTGAAAACTTTTCAAAATGGCTGGACATTTGGACAGGCAGTAATGAAAAATTTGCCAGACCCAATGGATTTTTGTCGGACCGAAAATCAACCTATTCGTTTGAGACAGATACTACCAGTACGATCAGGGTAGCTTACTTTGTTTGTGAATGTGAAAGTTTTGAAATGGAAGGGAAAAAACGCTTTGTTTTTGTAAAATTTTATTAGTAAAGTATGACAAACGATGACTGTAAATTCAAAATTACGGTTCTTAAAACTCTTGTCAGTCCTTTGGACTGACCAAGTCCAATTTTTTACCAGCCCAGACAAATTTTCCCAGTCATGACCGATCGGACCGACACAGCATGTCTGGTGTGTATGTATGTGTGTGAGAGAGAGAGAGAGAGAGAGAGAGAGAGAGATGTATTTTGGCATATCACATACTGTATTATGCTTTCCAGTATTTCTAGACCAGCATGATGCTAGAACTTTCCTGCATGCACATGCGCGTTCTAAGCGTGCGAACACGGGCTGGCTGGGTACGGAGGAGGTGCTGGCAGGGAACCTGGAGCGCGAGTGCGTAGAGGAAGTGTGTTCTTGGGAGGAAGCAAATGAAGTCTTTGAGAATGGAGAGAGAACCGTAAGGAGAAGCAGAATTGAGCAAGATGTCCTGATGCAGCTTATTGCATTTATTAAATTACTATTACTATGTTATTTTTAATTCGTATTATTTTTCAAGTTAATGGACTTTGGCCCTTTTTTTAAAAAATGAATAGAATATGCACTTTAAAGTATTTAGATGAAGATATAAATGTTTTTCCTTCTTTGCTTGCTAGTTTTATTGAACCATTTAACCAATAACCTATGAATTAAACCTCTTGTAGGGACCCATGAGTACAATTCTATACCTTCTGTGTGTATTTATATATGATTAATGAACTCCAAACATGACATGTTTAAAACATTATGGCTATATACTAGTAATGAATCTAAAAAACTGATATACATGTATCTTGGTACTAAAATTAGCCCCCAGTGACTTTTCTTTTACCCTATAACTGTTTGTACATGCATGTACCAGCTTTTATGTTCATAACCTGTCACTGTTTCACAGTTGGTATGATATTTACCATGAATATCTATTTCAGAGAGAGTACTGGGTAAGGAGAAATGGTATGTAATTTGTTTTAAATTATTCTTTAAATTATTGGAAATATATTTTTATATGTAATGGAAAAATATATTTAATTTGGCAATCGTTTGACATTTGACTTTGTTCCATGTTGTGACATATATACATTACAAAATCAGCTGTGATAATTTTTTAAAGATTGGTCCATTTTTATGCCAGATCCTAACCAGTGTGATTCCAACCCGTGTGTCTCAGAGGGGACCAGCAGATGTGAAGATTTATTCCAAAACTATAGATGTCACTGCAGGCAAGGATACACTGGAAGCAATTGTCACATCAGTGAGTTAGAATGTCCACAAGCAACTCATATCAGCTGTCATATAGCAGTTTCAAGACATTTATGTACTTATTTATAAAATTCCACAATATGGGCCTACCCTAAGAGTTAAGTTGTTGTTTTTGTTTTATTAGGAGGAGGGAGGGTGGGGGAGATTATGTATATACTGAGTATTGCAACTCACAAAACCAATCTGAAAAATGTTTTTATCTATTCTCAGATATAGATGACTGTGGGACAAATTGTCAAAATGGAGCTATATGCACTGTAGGTATACAACTGAAAAATATCTTTATTAATCAGAGATTTTGACAACCCATGTAAAAACTTCATTTATGAAATTGCTTTGTTTATTGGAGATGCTGCAAATTAAAAGATTGTGTTTTTAAACACAATTATTAAAATATATGCATATATGTGTACATATAAAATTGACTTTAAAAAAGAAAAGAATTCTGCTCACAATCTTACTCCCTAGGACCTGGTCAATGACTATCACTGCACCTGTGCCCCAGGATTCCGAGGCACTAACTGTGAAATTAACATTAACGAGTGCCAGAGCAACCCTTGTCAAAATGGCGCCACGTGTCAGGACGGAGCAAACCGTTGGAGCTGCCAGTGTGCTCCAGGATGGACAGGTTAGTGGTCGTTTTTAATTAGCTTTAATTTCAGACTGCTGCTGTTATTTGTTTTAAATTGTTTCTAATATAGATTACATTAACCAAAAAGTGAGGGTATTAACTTGAAGACCCAGTTGGAAGCACAGGAAGCAAAGCTCCAGAATGTAATTACCCATTATAATATTTCTATTTCTCAGTTCCAGTTCATACTTATAAAACAAGTATACTCTTCTATCTGACCAACAGATGAATTCACAGTAACAGTTAATGGGACAGAAGTCTGTTAGCTAGTCAAATATTTGGGTAAATCATACCTCCTCCTTCCCAAATTGGAGTAGGGTTGGGGAGCCAGCTTGCAGAATATCCTGGCCATATACTGGACCCTTAGAGAGGAACAAAATTTACCAAATCTTATCTAGATTGCTTAATCTTATGATACATCAACATAGATATATTATATAACAGTGCAAAGGTATCATTTGAGTACCATCAAACTCTGTGCTTCTGATGACTGTATGCTATCTCAATGTAATTACTATGGTAGTATGGTGAAAATTTAAGAATTTTGCTGGCTTTGAAAATTTTGTTAGCAGATGATTTTTCTGCTGAAGATTTTTTTCACTTTGAAAAATTACCTAAAACTAAAAAAAGAGACTTGCTTATCAGCTTTAAAATTATTTTTATCAGGTGTATCCTGCCAGTTGGACATCAATGAATGTATGTCAGCACCTTGTCTGAATGGTGGGACGTGTAACAACCTGCAGAACATGTTTACCTGTGATTGTGTCCAGGGATTTGCAGGGAATGGATGTGAAATTAATGTGGATGATTGTTACCTTGATCAGTGCCTGAATGGTATGGCAGTGTTTTTTAAGTATTGTTTGTCATTCGATATTCCTGAGGACGTTAATTGATATTTATATATTTTTCAATCTCAAGATGTGTTATAATATTTTCCTGGATTTTTTTTCTTGTTTTAACAAACCATGGGCCTTTGTTGGTTTATAAGCTTGGCTTTATAATTTTGCAAAAGCACATTTCTTTTCAAGAAAAATATCCTTATAATATAATCAGACAAATAAGTTCTTTATCATACTTTTTTCACAGGTGGTACTTGCATTGATTTAGTGGATGACTTCAGCTGTATCTGTCCCCCAGGATTCTCTGGTATGACATGTGAAGTCAATGTTAACGAGTGTGAGAGTTCTCCCTGCCTGAACCAAGCTACCTGTATTGATGCTGACAATGGCTTCCTGTGTGAATGTTTACCAGGTAGGTCACTCTGATTGGTGTGTTCCCTGAATAGGAATGGATCAGAAAACCATTTTTTTATGGCTGTTATTGTTGTTATCACACCTATTGGCATGGATGCCAACAATGGGGCACTGAAGTTAGTGTCTAGTTTCCAGTTTTGCTTTTTAAAAAAGGAACCTGGCAACAAGGAACTTGTTTCATTTTTATATAAAGACTCTTTAATATATATAAGTGTACCAGTACTACCTCACGCTAATCTAGCTTCACTACAATACTAACAGTCAAGGTCACAAGAAAGTAGTCAATTTGGCTGTGCCTATTTGCTGGCCAAAAACCACATTGATAGGAAAAAAGACATTATGGGCCATGATCGGTGGTCATCTTGTTCTCAGTGCACAGCGATGAGAGAACATAACACACTGCCTGGCTTCCAGGGTGAAGGTTACCAGCTGGTCACAGTAAACCCTAATCTCTGACTGCCCCTTCCTCCATCCACTCCTGGTTCCCTTCACTAAAACTATTCTAGTTTCTCAGCACACTAGTTTCTGGTTGCCAGCATTGTTTTTGAAAAAACAAAGCTAGTTTCCATTTTTTTAATAGTTCACTGGTTTTTGATTGATTTGATCGTAGACATTGATCTGCGGTCTATTCTGCCTTTACATATGGTGGGGGGAGACCGTTATATTGGGCTTCTGCAGTGAAGGCTACCTGTGCATTGCAGACATTGATCATAGGTTGTCTCAGTCTCAGTCTCAGCCTCAGCGCATGGCAAAGAGGAACTGTTACACCTAGTACAGCTTCAGCGGTGAAAGTTGCCTTTGTGCTGACATTGACGGATGATTGACCCTTCTTCTGTCCGCTCCTTTTTCTCTCCGCAAAAACAAATTTGAAGATGGGTGTTATTACTATATTGAAAGAAACACATATCAAACAGAAGGATTTGTTTTATTCCACATATGATATACACTAGCAGCTGCAAAGAGTAAAGACAATAATAAAAAAACAAACAATGAATATACATACCATGGAAAGCAAGTTGGTGTGTGATATTTTGTTAAATTTATCTTTGTAAGGAATCACCAAGGTATAACATGGTAGCCAATCTCAAGCAGCACATGACTAAAATGCAGTCAGATGGGAAGAAGAAACAGTAAAGCAGCAGTCAGTTACATGCTACAATTAGTCATTGCCAACATCATCAGTCACGGCTACCAAAAATGATATCAGTGGTGCTGAACTTTGATGGTACCAATAGAGGTAGTATGCACTAATAAATTCCTCTGCATCCAGGACGCCATTGGCATTCTGATCAATTGCATCAAAAATTGGTTGAATCTCAGCTGTGTTGCGAAAGACAAACAGGAATTTGGAATACTCATCTACTGTCAACTTGCCATCGCAGTCAATATCAAACGTGTCAAACATATTTGATGAGATTCCAGCAACCTCTTCTGTTGAAATAGGAATGTCTATCTCAGACTCTTGAAGAAAGTCTTCCAATGTAATGTTTGTTTTATAGTTTGTGTATTTGTTTGACCAAAAGACCGGAAAGCTATTGGAAAACATACCATTCACCGCCATAGCTCTCCAAGAAGGCAGAGCTTTTTGAGCTCGTTTTGTTGTTAAACCAATATATTCTTCTTCAGTAACGATGCCATCTTCATCAACGTCAATGATTTCAAAGAATGCTTTGTACTTGGTAACCCAGTAGGAACTAAACTTTCAGTTGGTGTTCTAAAATATGAAGAAATGATCTTTAATTGGCCAGCCATGTCTCTCTTTCACATTAGGAGTTGATCTCTGGCTATGATTTATATATCATATTTTGCAGGTGTATTATTTGTTTTAGATATGACATTTTCTGCATGTATTTTATTTAAATATTTGAACAATATTTGTGAATTGGGTTTAAAATGGAGATGCAGTATGAGATGCTGTAATTGTTTTGAACAGGTGTATATTATTTTTCTTAGAAATGACATTGATTATGCCAAATAAATATTGGCATTATGAAAAATTGGTTTCTTGATGTTGAGTCACCATCCAAGACAAAAAAATTCTCTTATTCAATAAAGTGAAACACTAAAAGGTCCCAGACCAGCAGAAAATTCCGCCCCAACTCCCTGTACTTAAGAACCATATACTGCCTGCCTGACAATGCTGTCTTAGCTTGTTTCACTAAACCAGTGAACACTTTTCTGGACCTACCTTTAAAATACTTGAAGAATCAACAGCAAGAACAGCAACCAGTAAGAGTAGGCTTATCAGCTTAATGGATACCATTATTTTAAAGTCTGACTTGCCAAGATTTCTAAAACAAGGGAATCAACAGAAACAAAAATAAACAACCAGCATGAAATATAAACTAATTAAGTTTAAAAGAAATAATCAGGGTTCTCTTTTACACCTAATTATATACCTACCACAACTATTAAACACATTTATAAGTAATAATAATAGTAATGCATGATAAGAAGAAAAAACACATATTATAACTCAAATCACTTGAGTTGTACATTTAAAAGTGGAGAATTCCTAGCTGATATTAAACATTTATGCCTGGTTTTTATGGATCTCTTCAGTCATGAATCAGTCTTATCTCAGTAGGGAAAATACAAAGCAACATGGCTCTATAAAGATATTACACATGTATTAATAGCACTACTACACGTTGCGAGAAGAGACAAAGCTAGGGTGCCATTTTCATAATAGATATAATGATAAAATATCCCCCAAATGTTATTGAACAGTCCATGCCTTACCAGTTTTCTGTCCTACAGTTCTTAGGAGATTTGTGCCTTGACTGATGTGTGGCATTTCTCGGAGGGTGGTGTATTTAAATACAATCACATTAAACTGTATTCCAGATAAAGTTTCTTTGTCGTGCACTGTTGTCCCCTATTCCTCATGTTATCAATCCTATTTTACCTGCAGGTTTCAAAGCCCACCTTTATCTAAGAAAATGTAAGTGCCAAGGTACTGGTACATGTTTATGTGTGCTTAGGCTGAGTGTGCTGAGACTGAGACTGCCAGTTCAGGCCTAACCAACTACCAGACTCGGCACCTAAGGATCCTGAATTAACCGGTATATCGGACCACACTACCCGTTTTCAAGGTGTGTGTCAGATCGCATTTCGGAGTATCTGTCAGAACACCGACAGGATGAGCCCACGCTCGGCTGTCACCTTGATTGGATAGTAAACGATTGTCTTATTTAATCGCTATATGATTTTAAAACCGGGTGCATAAATTTGAAAGCCACCTAGATGAACCTTAGACTGCCACATCAATCTAATACAATGCAAAAAAGCCCTATCAAAAGTCGTTAAAACATTCAAACCGAATGTCGTAAAGTCCCCATATACCCCCATAGAGACAATGAAATAGAGTACTCACAAGTAAGAATACTGTTTAAGGTTGTTCAGCCGAGCGTGGATGAGCCCCCAGTCGTCCTACAAAATTTGTTCTGTAGAATGATACTCCGAAATGCGATCTGACACACACCTTGAAAACGGGTAGTGTGGTCCGATATACCGGTTAATTCAGGATCCTTAGGTGCCGAGTCTGGTAGTTGGGTAGGCCTGCAGTTGATGTATAGCTTCGGTGCACAGTTAACCTTCACTGTAGAATTGGTGCTCCATATTGCCGTTTCTTCCCTCTGAGCAGGTAGGCAAAAATAAAAATAAAATAAAAAAAAAGGCAGATCAGTGTCTATGGTACACAGGTAGCACTCACTGTGGAAACTGTGCTGACTATTACAGCCTCTCTCCAGCGTGAGGGGAGACCAAGAGGCCTGTAGCCAGGGGGGGGGGGTTTCAGGGGGTTCGAAAGATTAACTGCCCCTTTTGTCAGGAAAAGGTCCATATTGGGTAAAATTTTATCTAGGTACACATAAGTTTCATTGTAAAAGGTCCACTTTAATAGGAAAAAAGACATTATAGGCCATGATCAGTGGTCATATATCTTGTTCTCAGTGCACGGCCTGGAGAGACCATTACACACTGCCTGGCTTCCAGGGTGAAGGTTACCAGCTGGTTGCAATAAACCCTAATCTCTGATTGCCCCCTCCTCCATCCACTCCTGTTTCCCTCCACTAAAATTATTCTCAGTGTCAGAATTGGTTTTGTAAAATGGTTCTAGTTTCTGGTGACCAGAATGGTTTTTGAAAAATGAAGCTACATGTACTGAGTATGTTCTGGTTGCCAAGTTTTTTTTATTTAAAAGGACACCGGTTTTTGGTTGATTTAATCATAGCTATTGGTCTGCGGTCTTTTCGGCACCTGCGATGTTGAGGCAGAGGCCATAATTAATATTGAGCATGGCTTTTGCAATGAAGGAACTGCAGACACTGATCAGAGGTTGGAAAGATAAAACTGTTACACACTGCACAGCTTCAGAGGTGAAAGCTGCCTTTGTGCCGTAGACATTGATGGACAATTAACCCTTTTTCTGTCCACTCCTTTTTCTCTCCGCAAAAAACAATATGGTTGTTATTCCTATATTGAGAGAACCACATATCAAACAGGAGGATTTGTTTTATTCCACATATGATATACACTAGCAGCTGCAAGAGTTTAGACAATAATAAAAAAACAAACAATAAATACCTCTCTATCTTTACCATGACACAATTCAAGAAAAAACATGGAAAACAAGTTGGTGTGTGACATTTTGTGAAATTTGTCTTTGTAAGGAATCGCCATTTTGTAACATGGTAGCCAATGGGTATCTCAAGCACCACATGACTAAAATGCAGTCAGATGGGAAGAAGAAACAATAAAGCAGCAATCAGTAACATGCTACAATTAGTCATTGCCAACATCATTAGTCACGGCTACCAAAAATGATATCAGTGGTTCTGAACTTTTCATGGTACCAATAGAGGTCCCATGCACTAATAAATTCCTCTGCATCAAGGAAGCCATTTGCATTCTGATCAATAGCATCAAAAATTGGTTGAATCTTAGCTGTGTTTCGATAAACAAAAAGGAATTTGGAATACTCATATACTGTCAACT